CCATTTGTCCCATTTTCGTGTTATTAAAAATATTGTATTTATTAACATCGATTGTTTCATTTGTGTTTGGTCTACAGTCGGTCGAATGTGTCATTTAGGGGATCCGGGAAACTTAAATTCAATTAAATCCTAATTGAATTAATATTTATTTTTTTTTACTTTATCTATTCTGCCGATGATACGATAATACAAGGGAAGCAATCCTAATCCTTATTCAAGAATCCTTTAACTGAACGTTAATTGAAAAATAAAAAAGGAATATCATTGTATGGAATATATTGATCCTAACCTGGTGTTATCCATCCATAAGATAATAACGTTTCGGGATGAATCTATGATAACAGTTTTAACCCTACAACTGGCCGCAAGCCTTTAACATGACGAGGCATGCCATTGACCCGCACTGACTGCAGGCTGGTAATCTCGGTAACATGCCCCATTCTAAGCTTGTCTGTACACTTGCTGTGGGTCTTAACCCACACTAGGTCGCCAATTCTGTATTTTGCTTGTGCATCACCGGAGCCATTTGCGATGTCAATGCCTTGCAGCCATAAGTAATAGGCATACACTATGTTAGCCGGTGCTGTTGTAGGCAAAACACTATCTTTAGGTGTTGCATTATACCAATAGACTGCTTCCTGGCTGCAATCACTTTTATAGACTGGTGTTCTCCTTTCTACTATGCCGTTTCCCGCCGGCACATAGGTACACTGGAACTGAAGCGGCACACCCCACTTCCTTAAGAACTGCTAGAATTGCTCTGAGGAAAACGCTGCACCCTTATCTGTCAATATTTCTGCAGGTGGCCCCCGCTGGTCGTAAAAGATGGACTCCACTTGATGTATTATGCTGGCAGTGTCCTGCCAATGCAATAGTCGCCAAATGGTGAAGCGAGAGGGTCTACAGTCAATAACAGTCAAATAGAGCTGGCTGCCAACATGTGTAACATCTATCCCCAGCCTATTCCAAACATGAATAGTACTCAAATTTCCTTTTTGCCACTGCACCGGTGCCGGGTCAATTGACTGGCACGCCTTGCACATCTGCACTACTGTCCTAACATCTGTCTTTTTGACTGCTGGGTTGACCATCTTCGAGAAGTAGAGCGTCCGTTTAATCCCCGGATGCCCACACTGTTCATGTATGCTCATGATCCGCTCAAGGCCCATACTGAGCGCAGAAGCCATACACAGCAATTGCAGAGGTTCAGACTCTTTTTGAGCAGCAGTCAACCAACGCTGCGGAACGTGAGTCAATGATTCTGCTCTGTTGACTGCCAATTTAACTAACACTACATCCACAGACAGGTTGTACTCTTTGATAGTTTTAATCAGCGTGGCGAGCCGCCTTCGTATCAACATCTCACTTGATGCCGTGGTAGTCAGTCGTGCTCTTCCAGTAAGTGCATCTGATATTCAACGCTGAGTGCATGCTGTGTCCATGACGATGTGTAGCACTGTTGTTTGCCACTGGAGCACCAGGTTAACCCCCTTCAGAGTGGTGTCTAGTTCGGCCAGGTTTATGTGTCATGCATCATTTTCAGGTTGTAACCAGCAGGCGTTCTTCTATGATGGACCTGTTATCCTCAAGGGCGACACCCATGGCCAATGACCTGGCATCCACCCAAACAGTGAGCTCAATCCCCTTAACGCAGCAGTCACCTCGCACGGGATCATCTTGCATCTCTCCATAGTTTCAGTGATCATGCATCTTAGGGTAACGTCGTGCACCTTGTCGTCCCATCCTGACGAAACAGAAGTCATGCGGCGCTTTACGGCTGCTGCCGCCACTTTGAGCCAACCGCATACGTGAAAATGGCTTACCAGTTTGCCACACATGGAGAAGGTACTCTGACGAGTGATCGCTGACGAGACTTCCGGGATGTTACTACCTCGCCTCCAGCGAAGTTTTTCTCCATCACTACTGACATGTAGTCCAAGTACATTCGCCCTATCCTGCAGCAGCTCTGGGGCCTTGCACACCAGCCAAAGCACTCTAAATGTTCCTTAACCCTTGTTGAAGAGGCCATGTTTTCATTGTCAATGTAGGATGATGTTGCCCTTCGAATTTCCTCATCCTGCGACATAACCACATTCATAATTGCTGACATGATTTTTGGAGCCATATTAAGACCAAATCCCAATCGAGTGAGGCAATATATCCATCCTTTTACTATGACAGTCTGAAAGGGCCAGTGTGATCTGTGGACTCGGACTTCAAGGTAGGCCCTTCTTAAATTGAGGGTGGCCATGTTGCTCCCTTGCTGTCGCCATTCCTGTAATTTCTGGGCACAAACATCCATGTTGGCCGTATATGCATCTACAAAGTTATTCAATTCCCTGTAGTCCATGACCAGTCTCACTTTCCCTTATTCTCTTGCACTATTGCCATCAACGGAATCAGTCCTCGAGGCGGCCCTAGCTCCTCCTTGGGGTATGGCGCAAGCCAGCCATTTGCTATCCAAAGCTGCAATTCATTTTCATATTCGCTCGTGATATGCTCTGGAACTGGGTACTCTGCTATTTTATTTTTCAGTGGCGTGGACATTCAGCCACCCACCCACTTCCATGTTGCGGTCCATATGCACCTGCGCTGGTCGAAAGTTGCACTGAAGTCAGGTTCGTTAATCCTCAAAGCAGCACAGATGGGCAGATCAGAAAACTTGACTTCGCCCGCCTCTGTGATGCGTACGCCGCCCAGCTTCTTAATAATGTCCATCCCAAGGAGCAGATCAAAACCTAATAGCGCGCTGTCCACAACCAACACACTGACTGTGACGGGGTTACCATTGTTGATACTGAGTTTGATGTTTCCAACTCACCGGCTTCTGAGAGCCTATCCATCAGCCGTTAGTACATCCATCTTTTGTCTGCTCCACTGCCGACAAATCAAACCGTTTGTGAGTGACCAAGAGCAGCCCAAATCTACTAAAGCAGTACACGTTATTCCATTGATGCGCACCTTAATCACAGGGAGTGCCTCTTTCATGCTCGGTGTGGGGAAGAGACTAGTGCTGATGTCGCATCCCCCATTCCATTTCCTGGACACTTAGAGGCAATGTGACATACTTTATGACATTGGAAACATTGTAGATCGAGACTTCCCTTTCACGCCGACCAGCTGCACATTTCTTCGCATTGATAGCAGCAGTCTTTGGCAAAATGATTCGGCCCAGAGCACCGATAGCAGGTGACATCGCCATGGCAACGGATGGTTGGGGTCGGATCCTCTTTGACTTCAACTGGTTGAACGAACTGCGGCCACTGATTCATCAGCCTCTTTTTCGTCAATCATGGTAACACGAGCTCTGGTCAACAATTGATTGAGCGTCATGTCTTCCATTCTGGATGATGTGCGGAGTATCTGTTTAACATAACTAGGCAATCCAAACACGAAGGCACAGGTCATCCATTCATCAGGAAGCGGTGTGATTGGTACAGCGAGCTTCTTTAATTGCGCCACATATATGTCTACTGTCTCGCCAGGTCGCAGACACAGTGCATGGAATTGGTCATAGGCCACGAACTGGTCAGTTCCAAATGTGGTTAGTAGAGCGCACTTTATCTGCTCAATGTTACTTTTCTGTTCTTTACTCAGCTGCCTATACACAGCAAGGGTGCTGCCTTTCAAGCGCAGTGGAAGAATCAGTTCACTCTTCATGATCTTGCATAATTTGCAGACCAGTTCCACATTTTCGATCCATTCAACCACAGACTGTCCACTCGTATCACCACTGAATTCGGAGATCAGGTTTATGTCGAACGGTCTTTCCGCCATCTTGCTAGAGACAAAGTAAACTCCAAAATAGATTGTGTTGAAATGTGTCATGAAAAAAATAAATGATTTTGTCTCTTTCTCTCCTGCTGTCATAGTGACGGGCACAGTCTCCACTTCTGAGACAAAACTGCCCTCCTTCTCATTCGAGCCCTTTACATAGAGCTTGGTAACTTGCCTATGCAAAACACCAACAAGTCAGCTACCAATCACAGTTCCTGCACCTGCCCACCTCCACTCACTTTGGGGGGGGGGGTCAAGTTGACCAACCAACTTATTACAAAATGATACAGAGAAGGACAAGGAACAAGATCAAAGTATCATGAAAACCATTATCTCAAAAAATAAATAAAATAAAATTGCGTATAAAGATTTAGATTTCGGTATTCAATAATCCATAGAGGGTGATATGCTGCAAAACAAAATAAGCAATCAATCTATATTGATTGACTAATTGATTTGTTTTATGGCACATTAACCCAGGTGGATCATTTAATGCCAAAGAAGGTTTTCTGGTGAATAATTCAAATTATTTTCTTCTGGGAGCAGGGGATTATATAGAGGAAAAATTCCTTTGATTTTTTTTTTTTTTTTTTAAAGGAATTTTAGGTTGTCTAAAATTGATTACAAAACAATGTAGGTAAGCAGATTTGATAAAGATTTTTATATCTTCCTGTGGAGCCTAATTTCTTTAATGAAATTTATGATGTTACTTCAGTATTTTCAAATAGCTCCTTTAAGTTATCTGATTTGTAGTATTTGTTTTGGGTTTGCTAAAAGTTATGGCAATTTAGTAGAATATGTTTAACAATGTATGATTCCTTGCATGGGACACATGTTGGCGGTTCCTCATTTTTTAGTAGGTGTTGGTGAGTTATGTATGTGTGTCCTATGTGCAGTCTGTTAGGCTGTCTTCTTATCTTTCTGCAACTTGGCTGTCTTTCACTAACGACTGCAACTAAATCTATAGATTAATGCCTTTCTTGAGAGCATTTGTGTGAAAGTGAATGCAAGTGACTTTGCCAGAAGTTGTACTTGTCTTGCCAATTTTCTTTGCTGTGCTAATAACCACTATGCACTTGACACAAAACCCAGAATATCTTTGACTTATTTGGAGGAAAATTGCACATTATAATCAGGTAAAAAAAAAAAAAATTTCTTCTTTTTTTTTATAATAATATTAATTACAGACGTAGTTTTGGATAAACAAGAGTAAAGAAACATACCTCTCTCAGATAACGTGAAAGTTTAATAACAGAACTCAATAATGCCATTGTGTATCCGGAAAATGTTTCCCTGTGTTCCTTCTCAGCTGTTATTCTTCCAGTGTTCTGTTCATAAAGTTCCATTTCTGATTGAAGTTCCTCAAGCACCTGAAAATGGTAGGGGGGGAAAAACAAAGAACATTTAGTGTCCAAAATCTTGGAAATTTGAAGTAAAAATAAAATAGTTGATTTTAATATCAAGAATTAACAATGAGAGCATATGTCTAGAAAATCATAAGTCAAAATGGCTACAATTGAAAGAAAAGAGGAAATAGAGAGAAAAGTTAAGAAGTGAGTGTAAAGTGAAAAAAGAAAAATTAGTATAAGCAGTCAGTTGGTGATACCCCCAATGAGAGGGTTTGTCTACAAAACTGTGTATTCAGGATGCTGAAGGTAACATCAATCAGCTGAGTGACAAACCTATTACTTGTATTAATTTTATATATCGGCTTCAAGCAATTGGCTGTCTAGCAAAACAGGCTTGTATGTGGATGACTATATATATATATATATATATATATGAAGAAAAATATACTGAAAAAACAAACAAAAATCCTAATATGCGATTATGCTGTTTTAATGTTTAATGTCAATGTCGGACGTTTCGGTCTAATAGACCATCTTCAGGACATATTCATAAAACATAATTAACATAGACCATATACAATTCAACATGAAAAAGACAATGGACATAAAAGCTATACCAATCCAAACAGATAACTGAAATCTTTTATAAGATCAGCGTTCCGTTTAAATATGATCACGTTGTCGTCACGTGGGCGATGTTGTGAAAACGTATTCCTAAAATTTGAGTATTTTGAATGAAAACGAAAAGAATTTTGTTTTGATTTAAGACTTATATGTACGTTTGTCGAGCATTAATCTTGCTAGAAAAGGGGAAATATTAAAGAAGCCAGGTTTAGTGTTATGTTAATTATGTTTGTAGACAAGTTCATCTTCAAGAGGGCTGGTAGGTTTCCTACACAACACCTCCCCCTTGAGATTAATTCCGGAGGAATTAATATCTTTTCCTTTTGGGATCTGGACTTAAACGTTCCACCCTAGTTCTTTTTCTTTTGCTTGTCCTTCTTTGGACAACTGTTTCAGGCAATGGTGGAGTTGGTATATCAAATAAATCATATAATACCTCCATTGGTTCTTCCTTTTCTTTACTTATTTCTTTGATGATTCTTCTCCTTAATTGGTTCAAATATCATTTGTGCGTCCATTTTTTTACTTATATCATGTTACAACATTTTACCAATTCTTTTGCGTTACCACTCCATCTTGCCAAAAATTCCTTCCCATTTTGTAATTTAAAAAAAAAAACTTTATCTCCCAGCCTGAAATATTTCATATTTTCCTGATGCGTTTTGTTCTGGTAACTCTTTTTTCTTTCCGGCAGCAGCCTATTGAACACAGATCTAATTTTTTCTAGCAAAACATCAGTTCAGCTGGAGACTTCCTGATCCTGCGTTTGGATTTGGTGTTATTCTGTATATACTTAAAACTGCTGTACAATTGCTTCTTCCACCACGAGGAAAGTTGGCTCTCTTCATAGGATCGCCAGGAATTTTTTTCTCCCCTGAATCGATACTTCAAATATACAAAACAACCATTCGCCCTAGCATGAGTATTGCTGCCATATATGGGCTGGAGCACCTTCTGCTTACCTCGGAGTTCTTGACAAGATCCAGAGAAGGATATGTAATCTAATTGGCCCTGATCTAGCGTCTTGCTTGCAGTCACTCTCTCACAGACGCGCCGTCGCCTCTCTCTGTCTTTTCTACAAATACTTCCATGGTAACTGCTCTGATGAGCTGCTCTCTCTGGTTTCCAGACTCCATGAATTCAAGCGCCCTACGAGGCTGGCATCCCGCTCTCACCCTTACACCGTAGAAACCTTCAAATGTAGCTGTCTCTTCTACTCCAATAGCTTCATACCTCGCACCTCTCGCCAGTGGAACACCCCTCCCAATTACTGTTTCCCTGAAAGCTATAATCTCCAACTATTCAAATGTAATGTCAATCGACATCTCCAATTACCTTGATCTACCCACTATCCTTCTCCTCTAAATTTTCTCCTATCACTCTTATCTGCTCTCGCTCCAAACCCCTGCATCCTAGTGGCTTCACGCCTTGCTTGGGGCACAATGCTTAAAAAAAAAAAAAAAAAAAAAAAAAAAAAATATATTACCATCATCTGTATTAGTACCATTTGTTTTTTAAGGGCTCTCTTGAACGTATCAACAAACCGTTCAGCCTGTCCATTTGACCTAGGATGGTATGGTGAAGTCATGATATGGTCAATTCCCAGAGTCTTACAAAATGCCTTAAATTCACTTCCCGTGAATTGAGTTCCATTGTCGCTGACAATTTTTCAAAAACTCCAAACCGTGCAAACAGTTCTGTAAGAAAATCTTTTGTTACAGAAGCAGTTGGTCTTTTGCACTTAAAAACCTCAGGCCACTTGGAATAGCTATCCACAACTATCAAGTAAAATTACCATTCATGGGTCCAGCATAATCTATGTGGAGTCTGGTCCATGGAACATCTGTTTTTGGCCATGGTGTGTATTTTACTGGCGGTGCTTTTTTTTGCCATTTGACAACCTCTACAAGTTTTAACTACCTGTTCAATGTCTTTGTCCATATTTGGCCAATAAACATAACTCCTCATCAGGGCTTTCATACGTCCAATACCAGGATGCCTCTGATGAAATTCCTTCAAAATCCGCTTTTGTAGTACAACTGGTATCACGACCCTTCCAGCATATAACAGCACTTCATCACATATTGAATATGCTGGTGAAGAAGTTTTATACTTTCCTGAAGTTACAACTTCTTTCATTTTTCTAATAAAAATGTTTTTTCTGCTTTTTAATTTTATTTCATCTAATATCACCGGTAATTCTTTTACTGTGTTATACATTACTTCCAACCAATTCATTTTCTGCTTGTAACGACGCTTATCACCGTATAAAAATCGGTTGGGATCAGACTAGATAAACCATCAGCATGGCTTAAATTTTCGATGATAAAATTCTATTTTGAAATTTTAATTCAACCAAATGGTTCCCCATCATTGCAAAACGGTTTGCCGTGATGAGTAGGTATACCTTTTTTGAACCATAGATCGAAAGCAGCGGGCGATGGTCAGTCTGCAATATAAACCTTCTTCCATGTATATACTTATGGAATTTTTTACAAGCATAGATGATAGCTAAGCTTTCTTTCTCAATTTGAGAGTACTTCTTTTTCTGCGGGTAATAATGTCCTTGATGCATGTGCCACTGGCTTCAGATTGTTTCTCTGAATTTATGCAAAATTAAAATAAATATTCCGTAATTTGCTTGCGTCTGATGCCACCATAATTTCCTGTTTAGGGTCATAATGTGTTAGTGATAATTCTGACGTCAAAATATTCTTTATTTTGTCAAACGCCTTTTGACACACTTCTGACCATTCCCACTTTGCTCCCTTTTTAAGCAATTTATTTAATGGAGCCGTAAGGCTGCACAAATTAGGAATATATATCCCATAATAGTTAGCAAGTCCTAAGAACACTTGTAGCGTTACTACATTTTTGGGAGATGGCATGCTTTTGATCGCTTCTGCCCTCGCCAGATCTGGTCTTCTTCCATCAGAGTCTATTATCTGCCCCCAAAACTTAATTTCCTCATAAAAATTCACATTTTTCAGCTGCAAGTTTGAATCCACATTCTTCAATTTTTTCAAAAACCTTATTAATATGTTCCAAATGTTCATTTTGATCTTTACTTTTTATCAAAACATCATCAAGATATGCAACAGCGAAATCCAAACCCTGCCAGCACAGTGTCCATAATTTGCTGAAAAATACTTGGGGATACTTTCAAACCAAACGGCAAATGGTTAAATTTGTATAAACCCTTGTGTGTATTGATAGTCAACAATTTAGAACATTCTTCGTCCACTTTCACTTGGAGATAGGCATCCGATAAATCCAATTTAGAGAATATTTTTCCTCCACTTAAACTTGCAAAAATGTCTTCTGGTGAAAGGCAAAGGATATGTGTGGTCTTTTAAGCAATCATTTAGACCCGTAAAGAAATCGGCACACATCCGAATTTTATTATTCTTTTTCTTAACATATACAACAGGACAGGCCCACTCTGAAAATTCAATGCGCGAAATAACTCCTAAATTTTCAAGCCATTCCAATTCTTTGTTAATCTGTCCCACAACACCAAATGGCACATTTCTTTTTCGCTTGAAAATAGGTTTTACATTTTTCTTCACTTCAAATTTTGCCTTTGCCTTTTTGCAACATCCAAGACCTTCTGAAAATACTTGGGGAAATTTTATTTTCAGATCTTTCAACAAATTTTCTGTAACCCAATTTTTACATCGAGAAGAAACATTAACTCTATTGCAAAAAGAATTTATAGGGAGTTCCCATAAATTAAACAGTATAATCCAATCTGTTCCAAACAAATTTGAAGCATTTTGTAGCACATACACTTTAGACTTTAGAGTCTTACAAACAAATGAAATATTACAAGAAAATTCACCTTGAAAATGCAATTTTCTTCCAGAAATCCTGCGAGCTACTTTTTCAGTCTTTTTAAGCAAAGGTCTGCCTATTTTAATCCATGTTGCTGTATTAATAATGGAAATATCACTTCCAGTATCTAGCTGTAGTTTAACCTTTTTCCATATATTTTTACCTGTGCGAATTTTCTTTTCTGCCCCTCCTCAATCTCCTGACGTGACAATACAATATTCACATATCTTTTTTCGACTTCATTTTTTTTTTTTTTTTTTTACATTGAGTACATATATGGCCTTTTTATTGCCACACGAATAGCAATTTTTGTTAAAAAAAAAAACATTCACTTTTAAAAATGACCACCACCGCATCCAAAAGCACGTTGGTTTTTAACGTTTTTATTAACTATTCCCTTTTTTGGTCGAATAGCATGGACACGGGATATATTCTTTTTCTTCAATTTGCGTATTGTCATGTTTTAAGTTTTCAATTCTTTGACATTCTTCCGTAACCTTCTGCAAAGTGATCTCGGAATCTTGTTCGAGTTTTGCCAATATTCAGGACCTTATGTCCTTATC